GACTTACTGACCTGACAGAGACTGCAGAAACCTCAAGAGTATGGCCCCCAGACACCCTTTTAGCTCAGTAATGAAATCACTCCCGAGGTTCACCCTTCAGTTAAAGGTTAGACAGGCCCATAAAACAAAATGAGACTAAAGGGGCATAACAGCCCAGGGACAAGGACTAGAAGGCAGGAGGGGTCAGGAAAGCTAGTAATAGGGAACTCAAGGTCGAGAAAGGGAAGTGTTGACATGCCGTGGAGTTGTTAACCAAAGTCATGAAACAATGTGTGTACTAACTGCTGAATTAGAAACTAGTTTGTTCTGTAAACCTTCATCTAAAGTACAACAACAAAACTACAACGAGGTACCATCCCATCTCGACATTACTGGCATAAATCAAAAAAACAGAAAATAACAAATGTTGGAGAGGCTGAGGGGAGACTGGAACTGTTAGGCACTGCTGCTGGGAATGTAAAATGGTACAACCATTCTGGAAAATGATACAGCGCTTCCTTAGAAAGCTAGAAATAGAAATACCATGTGATCCAGCAATCCCACTCCTAGAAGTATATTCTAGAGAAATAAGAGCTGTCACACGAATAGACATATGCACACCCATGTTCACTGCAGCATTATTCACAATAGCAAAAAAGATGGAAACAACCTAGATGCCCGTCAACAGACGAATGGATAAACAAACTATGGTACATACACACAATGGAATACTACACAATGATAAAGAACAATGATGAATCTGCAAAACATCTCATAACATGGATTAATCTGGAGGGCATTATGCTGACTAAAATAAGTCAATCACAAAAGGACAAATATTGTATGAGACCACGATTATAAAAACTCATGAAAAGGTTTACACACAAAAAGAAACAATCTTTGATGGTTATGAGGAAGGGTAGATGTGGAGAGGGAAAAACACTAAATAGACAACAGATAAGTGGTAACTTTGGTGAAGGGTAAGACAGTACACAATACTGGGGAAGCCAACACAACTTGTGCAAGGCAAGATCATGGAAGCTCCACAGACACATCCAAACTCCCTAAGGTACCGAATTACTGGGCTGAGGGCTGGGGACCATGGTCTTGGGGGACATCTAGCTCAATCAGCATAACACAGTTTATAAAGAAAATATTCTACATCCTACTATAGTGAGTAGTGTCTGGGGTCTTAAAAGCTTGTGAGCAGCCATCTAAGATACCCCACTGGTCCCACCCTACCTGGAGGAAGGGAGAATGAAAAAAACCAAAGGTACAAGGGAAAGATTAGTCCAAAGGACTAATGGACCACTACTACCACAGCCTCCACCTCTAGACTGAGTCCAGCATAATTAGATGGTGCCTGGCTACCACCACTGACTGCTCTAACAGGGATCACAATAGAGGGTCCTGGATAGAGCTGAAGAAAAATGTAGAACAAAATTCAAACTCACAAAAAAAGAGCAGACTTACTGGTCTGAGACCGGAGAAACTGCAGGAGTGTGGCCCCCAGGCACCCTTTTAACTCATTACTGAAGTCACTCCCGAGGTTCACCCTTCAGCCAAAGATTAGACAGGTCCATAAACAAAATGAGACAAAACAGGCACAACAGCCCAGGGGCAAGGACGAGAAGGCAGGAGGGGACAGGAAAGCTGGTAATGGGGAACCCAAAGTAGAGAAGGGGAGAGTTTTGACACTTCTTGGGTTGACAACTAATGTCACAAAACAATATGTGTATTAATTGTTTAATGAGAAACCAATTTGCTCTGCAAACCTTCATCTGATGCACAATAAAAAAAAATAGGGGCTCTGAGGAAACAGTGACAATGTGGGGAGCAGAAGGGTGACACACGATGATGTGAAGAAAGAACCTATTATTCCCCAGTGAGCTCATCAGGAACAGATTGAAATCCATTCCCCTTTCACCAAATAATATTTCTGTCATTTCCATGCAAGACTTTTTTTCAAGAAAACTGTAATAACTCTTTCCCCACCCCCCAAAAAATGCTCAGTGTAAATATCATCGCTTCAAACTTACAAACCTTCAGACTTGATGGCAACACCGAGAAAGAGAGTGAGTTCGACGTTGCTGGGAACGGTTTCTGTAACTGACGGCTGCTGTTCTCCCTAACAGTCCTAACATAAAAAGATGGTGCCCACACTTTTCCAGGGCCACTTCCCCTCTCTCTACCAAACAGGCCAGCTCACTATCCCCAAACATGCCACAATAGTGAAACCTGTTTCTCTACGGAAGGAAGATTAAACCACAGTTAGATCAAGATGATAATCAAAGTTAAGAAGAAAATTTGTTTTGTTGGTTAAAACAAAAGACAACCAGATAGCCTGTTTTTCAGGAATGTACAGAGGGCACACAGTATTGAAGATTGCCCTGTTCTCTTTGGAGTGGCCTGTCTGTTCTGTTCTTCCAACCAGGATGGTATCATTTTTATAGTTTCTCACAATAACTTCATGTTCCACTTGGGGAACATGATAAACCTTCTTCATTTTTAAAAACTAAAAATACCAAATATTCACTAGTAGGATTTCCAACACTGAATACTATTCTAGTATTTAACACCAATATTTAAGAGTTTGAAGAAATAGTTAAAAAATACAAATTATTTTTAAAAAGCTAAAAATTTATGTCTGCTGTTAAACGTAAAAAATAAATGACACAAGAAAAAAAACTGTAGTCTTCTGAGAAGCCTAACATACACCCCCTAATGTAAGAGTTCGTGTTTGGGATTTCAATTTTAACTACAAGCCTATTTTGTTCTTGTCCCTAAGGGTGATCACTTTTTTATTTTTCTTTTCTTTTCAAAGCCATTTATTTAGCAACATCAAGCAAATCCTATAGTAAGAGGTTTTAGGTTTCTCTTATACATTCTTTCCAGCAGAGCTGTGATTTTTCCCTTGAGAAAAGAAACACAATCAAGTTCAGTGTCTAATCCATAGGGCCCCATGAAGCAAACTGAATTTCTAATGCTTTAACTGTCATTCAGTCATTATTTATTCAGCACCTATGAGGTAATAAAGCAGATGCTGAGTAGTCATGTAGACCAGTGAGAGCCTCTCCCCTAAGGAACTCAGCTATCTGAAGTGGACGACCAGGTTTTTTTTTTACAATTTCTAATTCATTGTGGACCAACAATTTTAAAGATATAATTAAAACAAGTTCCTAGAGAAAGAAAATGGAAAAAAAAAGACATACAAAATAAAATCCCATGCTATATTATTAGATACAACCAACATAAAATTACTCTGCCAAATTGCTACGCAAGTTTCTAAGCACTTAATTTTTGTTAATTTATCTCAACCCAGCAGCCTAGGAATCACACTTCGAGAAGCACTGCTGTAAACTCCTTTATCTATAAACTCCTTTATCATTTGAGGGCAGGGACTTTTTGTATTTTTATTTATTCACATATTTTTCCCAGATACCCTTCCACAGCTTAGAATCTGAACAAATCACACCAGCTTCCTGCCACTGCTGATAATCTTGATTCATCTTTGAAATCCGTACCTCATCTCTAAAAGACTAATGATTCACCCCAAATTATGTAGCAACTATGAAACTTTGCATCTTCAAACAATTTTTTTTCTCTCTTTGGTTCAAAATATTTCAATTCCTTAAAAAAACAAAAAACCAAACACTGCTTAAAACAAAAGTACTTTGTGTCTAAAGTTGTTAGGAGAGGCTGGTGTGAAAATACATCGCGTTTGTGATAAAGACTAACACAAAGAGAAGGAGCACAGATTCTCTGAATGACAGTGTCTGCCTTTTATCTGTCTTCTAAGGTGGGCACAGGGAACCCAGGTGAGCAGACAATGTTCCTGCATAGCTACCAGAGACGGGACAGGGAGCTGCTGCAGCTCCAGCTTACTGTCCTGGTCCTAAAACCCGAATGGAAGTCTGCTGCATACTCAGAACAAATGATCAAAGCAGTCACTATTTACTTGTACCCTGGCTGGAAACACAGATGGGAAGAACAGTAGGACATCAAGAAATGAGGAGTCCAGTGCTGGGAATGACCTATGTAACTTATGGCTCCTGTCCTCCCTAACTCTTCTAACATAAAAAGATGCTGGTATTGGAAAGAAGAGTAAATAAGAACACTATTATCCAAAAGGAGCCCTAATGGCGCAAATGGTTAAGCGATCTGCTGCTAATCTAAAAGCCAGCGGTTTGAACCCAACCAGCGGCTCCTGGGGAGAAAAGACCTGGCGATCTGCTTCCCAAGAAAACCCTGTGGGGCAGTTCTACTCTGTCACATGGGGTCACCATAAGTCAGAATCAACTGGATGGCACCTAACGACAACTATCGAATAAACAGAACTGTGTGCTGACAACTGTGTTACAAATTAACTCTTCAAGAACGATTTACCAATCGGTTGGCTGCTGATCAATATTATTAACAGTTCAGGGCTTTACTAATAACAAACCAATGACTTGGTAGGTTTCGCAAACCTGAAAAAGATACCATTATGAATTCGGAAAGATGGAAAGGGGAAATGAAACGACAGGACAGACAGCCTTCAAAACTTGCTCACTACCTCTAGTCTACACAAGAATCTCTTGCTCCTGAGAGGAACCAGCATTTTGATGAGTAGTTAGTAATGACAACTGAGGAACAGACAATACATTTAAGTTCTATGAACATCTGAAAAATGAAAATGTAAATAGAGGTGGGGTTGGAGGTTTATCAAGGAAGTGCAGAAAAAACCAAGCAAGTCACGAAGCATGCTCTGGCTAAATCCGCGCAGCCTGCCTTGTCCTGAGAGCCACCCCTGTCCCACCCAGGTCAGGCCTGACAGGTGACTGCCCAGGTGACAAGGTGCGAGTGTGCGGCCCCGGGACACATGCGGGGCCCTTCCTGCCCTCAGCCGGGCGGGAAGGGCGTGTAGGTCCAGCCTGGCCCGGGCAGGGAACCCAGGAATCCGTCCGGTCCGGCTGCGCCGCGTCCGTTCCGGTTGAGGCAGACCTGCCCGCTCGCCTCCCCGACGCCCGGTCCCCGGTCACCTTCTGCGCGCTGGAGCCCCGGATCCGCGCCTCCTGGTCATAGACGTGGCAGCGGATCACCGAGCTGCCCACGTCCAGCCCCACCACGAAGCCTGCGCGCAGCGGGTCTGGCGCGCCCTGCTCTGGACGTGTCTGCTCCGGGACGCCTGGCAGCCCAGACATGCCGACTCCGCACGCTCCTTGCGGCTGCCGCCTTGCCACTGAGCGAGCCGGCGAGAGCGCTATCCACCCCCGCACCTCAGTGGCCGGCCGCCGCCCTGGCCACGCCCCGTCCCGCCCCCTCCGCCAGATCGGGGAGGCAGCCCCGCCCCGACGCGGTGACGTCACGGCTGCGCAGGGAGTCTGGCCGGGCGGGCGCTCGGGCAGCGCGGTGTTGGGTGGGTGGAGGTGGGGAGGCTGGCTGCCGAATTCTGAGTCGCAAGGTCCTAAGCTCGGCCTCGCCTCCTTCTCCAAACGTCTGCTGTTCTCAGCGTTGACTTTGACGTTTCATTTTAATTATTTCCCTCGAAACTCCAAGCAGCCTGAGGTAGCGTCTGCAATACTTTTACCCCTACTTACGTTTTATGAATCACTATTAAGAAACAGTGACATGAAAAACAACTCAGAATTCGGCGGAAAGTATTTGTTAATGGAATAAACTGAGTTTCCTGCCCAGAGTTCCCTCCCTAGAAAATCTGGTCGTTAAAGACTGCCCATACAATGTTGCTAGGGGCCATCAAGTCGCTTTGCAACTCATAGCAACCCTGTAGTACAGAGTAGAACTGCCCCATAGGATTTCTTAGGCTGTCATCTTTATGCAAACAGATTGCCAGGTCCTTCTCCCGCAGAACCACTGGGTCGCTTGGAACAAACTACCTTTCAGTTAGCAGCCGAGCTCGTAAGCACTTTTGCCACCAGGATCCCTTGCACATACACCAAACCCGTTGCTCTTGAGTAGATTGCAACTCACAATGACCCTATAGGACAGAGTAGAACTGCCCCATAGGGTTTCCAAGGAGCGGCTGGGGAATTTGAACTGCTGACCTTTTGGTAAGCAGCGTGAGCTCTTAACCACTGCACCACCAGGGCCTCTTGCACATATAATACACAGTAATAAATACTTGCCACTACACATGAATAAGATCTTCCCCAGCTACTTTTTTTGTAGGTTTTTACCCCAGCAGTTGCTTTGTCAAGAATCTGAAAGGCTCTCAGCAGCCCTTAACCTTTCACTGCTGGCCTCCAGCTTCCTGAGGCAGTCCAGCTCTCAGGAAGGTCCTGACCTGTGGGGAGCAGGAAGTGGTAATATGGACTCCATCACCTTTCCACAGTCACCAGCACAGAAAACCATTATCTCCTTTTGGTAAAATGATACAAGTTAAATGTTGTCAGGCGCCCTGGAGTCAGGTCCGACTCGTAGCAACGTTATGTATAAGGGAAGACAACACTTGCCCAGTCCCGCGCCGTCGTCATGATCATTGGTATGTTTGCGTCGTTTTGGCTGTTCTGCCAATGCATCTCATTGAGACTGTCCCTCTGTTTTGCTGACCCTCTATTTTACCAACCATGATGTCCTTTTCTAGCAGTTGGTCTTTTCTGATGACATGTCCAAAGTAAGAAGTCAAAGTCTTGCCATCCTTGCTTCTAAGGAGCATTCCTATATTACATTCTGTAATACAGACATGTGCTTTTTGTGAAAATGTTTAACAGTGCAAAGTGGTGTGTCAAGTAAAAAGTAAACAATATTCATTTTGAACCAAGTTGTTCTTTGGCCAGATTTCCACTTTAACCACCTTGCTTTCAGCCAGTTTGACCAAATTGTTTTTTTGGCCCTATCGTCTGAAGCTTGGAACATATACCTGGAAGGGTGTGTTCTGTTCTCTTTATATCCTGTCCCTGTCCAGTAGTACCTCATTTGTTCCAAACGGCCCCAGGACTGCCGTTACCAAATACATGTCAACATTGTAATTTGAAAAAAAGTGACCAATGGGTTCCATTCACAACAGAGAAAACTGTTTTGTATTTCCCAGTGTTAGTATTTAGTATGCTTCTGAAAGGGAAATTTCTTGGGCTTTTTGGACTCTGATACTTCCTTTGTAAAATCAGTTATCTCGGATATCGTCAAAGAATCAAACAAACTGTGAGAACAGGGACCTTAGAAGTCTTTTAGTCTAGTGTTGCCTGATGTAGTATTCCAGCTCTTGAACGATGTTGAGACCCTAATGAATGCTATCTTCTAGAGAAAATACTTGCACATACGAAATTTTGCAGGTTCTGGGTTTAGGGTAAACTAAACAGGAAGATCTCAGCTTAAAAATGTAAAACTGATTTCCTTAACCTCAGACAGACTGTTGCCTCGGAGGACTGGGGAAACAAAGGGATACTTTCAGAGCCTCATCTCCCCTCCCCTGTGTTCATTGTTCTCCAATCTCACCTCTCACCCTGCCCAGCTGTCGGGGAAAGGAGCAGGTGGGCCACAGGGCACAGAGCTCAGAGGCTCCCATTGTCCCTTTGCTAGTGGGTCAATCTATTGTTCTTGATTCAGAGCCACTGCTGCTCTGAGCTCCATCACCTGATGGCCTTCATCCGGTCAGGCTGCTGCTTCTCCTCATTCTGGGTTTGGCCTCAGGAGTGGCTGCTGAGGATGCAATCACAGGCTCTTTCACCACCATCACTTCTTACACTTTCTCGTCTTGCAATGAGCCCAAGATTAGAACTCCGTTTATCAGTCTTCCACATGCTCAAGAAACTTGGATTCAGTTCCTCAGGGATGGGTCAGAAAGTCTATGAGGGCCACCATTGACTGTCACACCCCAAAGGGAAATGAATGATGCTTCGGGACCGAGTCCAGGGACCTCGATGCCCTTCTACCTCCAAGGAAACTAATCAGTGTCTCTCTGTCCTAGCGTGATCAACAGTCCTGGGTTTCCCAGAACTGAGGGATTTCTTGTGAAACAGGACTCTCAGTGATAAAACTAGGAGAGCCCAGGGCAAATCAGGACAATAGGCCACTCTAGTCTCTCTAGAAGCTGGCCGGGGATAAAAGCTTGTTGCCAACCTTGTTGGAGAGTGCTCCTTCTAGTGTCCCAGGGCCCACTCATCATAGCCTCATTACTCTTCGCAGAGGCTATTAGGGTGCACAGGTGACTCCTTTGGGGGACTCTGGCTACATCCTGTTAGGTGTCTGTCTCTCCTTTTAGACGATGCACTCTGTGAGGGCAACGACTGGACCTTCTTTTCTGCTCTGTGAAATAAAATCACACGTTTTGCTTTATGAAAACAGAGAGAGCTCTCTCACCCGTGACACTAAAGGCCATCTTATTAAATGTGAGAAACCTACGTGCTGCATAGTCACGTTTATGTAACTTCTGAAGCCTACAGTTATGCCTTATGCTGTAACCAAACTTTATTTTATTTTATTCTTTATTTATATTTTATTGTACTTCAGGTGAAGGCTTACAGAACAAATAGTTTCTCATGAAACAGTAGTACACATGTTGGCTGTAACCAAACTTTAGAAGCAGCTTATCTAATTTCACATAATTGTACTTAGGTGATCACACTCACCGAAACACTTGGAACTTGGTCTTTCAGAAAACAAGTGAAGATTAATGAACATGTCCTGTTTCTAAGACTCCAGAGGTCTTATAAGGATGCCTCACTGATCTTGTATTGTCTTAGGGAAGTTTCTATTTTTCTATTCTTTTTTTTCTCCATACATTATTTTATTCAGATAGCAGTCTGATTTACACATGGTCCAAGAACACTCAAATAGCAAAGAAAATATAATCAGATGTTAAAGATTGGTCTTCAAACATCATAGCCAATGATGCCACGCTTGCCTGTGATCTCGCCAATATAAAACCACATCCACACCTCAGTGGCCACCAAACCATTCAGCAGAGCTTCCTTAACTGTGAGCTGTTTGAAGCGACCAGTTTGAGCACTATTAACTATTTTTTCAGGCTCTGAATAGCTGTAGGGATCTCAGCAGGGGTTGGAGGAACCAGCTGTACCTTGGCATAATGCCAAAATGTGGCCAATCGAGGCTTCCAGTAAGTCACAGCAGCATTTACCATCATTGGAGCCTTCTCTACCAGATTATGGACAAGTTGGGCCATGGTTCTAGGGTGGAATGCCCGTCGCCTTCAAAGGCCAGCTGAATCTACTTTTCTATTTGTGATAATGTTTGAGCACATCCTGCTCTCTTATAAGATTTATGTATTCTGACACCATCATCAACCAATCAAAAATTTTTTTTGTTCCAAGTTCTTGATGAAATTATATATAAGTACCCCAAAATTTTTGATTAATTGGAGCACTGATTTACTCGGTAATGACATGCTGCCCAACTTTAAAGTTGTCTGTTAAACCTGCACAGCAATCTGTTGATGGTGTTCTGAGCTGTTTGTATTTGACAGATCCAAGACACACAAAGTAAGTACTGAATGAACAAATAAATTAATATGTAATCCCTGCCAGGCCTTATCTTCTCAGGTGGCCTCACTTGGCCACAAGACATGGAGGGCACTGGGCCTTCCCTAACCCCTGAGTTAATCTGGGCATAATGTCAAGTGATCACCGATACAGACCTTCCAGTGTGCAGGGAAGCCTGGAATTGGGCTGGCTACCTTAAATCCAGTACTTGGAACACCAGAATGAAGCCCTGGATATCCACACAAACTCTGAACCACCTCGTTTTTCTTATCCCTTGTTTTATGGGCCCAGACTGTTTTGCACTGCGCTCCTTCCTTAGTTTCCTGATTGGTATCTCTGCTTCTGGCTGTGTCTGAAGACCTAGCCTAAACCCCGATGTGAGACAGGGGTAGACATGCCATGAATTTAATGAAGGTTAAACTTCAGGGTCCTCACTTGCCTGGGCTTCTGCTTTTTATAAGGATACAAGTCCTATTGCGTCAGGGTAAACCCTACTCTAGAAATGACTTCATGTTAACTAATTACATTTGCAAAGACCCTGTTTCCAGTGAAGGTCGCATTTACAGGCCCAGGGGTTAGGACTTGAACATATCTTTTTGGGGGATACAAATTAACCCATAAAAGTCAGTAAATGATGACGACAGAGTTCTTTCCCCTATATACTGGTGCCTTCAGAGAACCTGGAAACAGGAACTCTTTCCAGAGGTAAACAATGAGAACTGATCCTGCTACCCAGACATGTCTGACAAATTAACATGACTGCATAGTTGCGACCACG